TAGACATCCTTTTAAAGATCTCATCAATTAAGGAATGCCCGGACACCAGACTAATATATACACAGAATTTTATCTTTAATAAACGACAAAATATATTATTATTGTTATAAGTAAAAGTAAAGGAAAATTTTCAACTGTATAAAAATGTTCCGTGTAAAAGTTTTATTTTATTTTGTATTTTGATCCTTATTATTTGGTTAAGTTTTTGTAATATATTCAGTTTTACACCTTTCGTCCTTGCAATATGTGAATAATTTGCTTTTATCCCCCAACTAATTTATTTTCAAAAAATATAACTCAAAATAAAAAAATATATTATAGGAATTGAACAAAAAAATTAGACTTATCATACGAACTAAAATAAAATAAGAAAGACCAAAATAAAATAAAATAAAAGGTAGATTTTACGATGACTATTTAAAAAAATTACAAGGACCAAAATTATAAGTGTAATTATAATAACAAAAACATACTTATACCTAGTTTTTAATACTGAAAAATAAATGCAACATCAATGATTTTATTATCTTTGTTTGACTTTAGGTAACTGAAAATTTAAGAGAAGTTTTTATCCGGTATAAATGCAACATTCAATAATTTTATTAATAACATAATTTATTATTTTTATAATAATTCATTTATGAGTAAAGTTCAAACGACAATGATGTAATTTTTACTAAGTATTACATTGTTCAATAACTTTATATTAAATGTGAATTTTGTAAATCTAACAATTGAATTATAATTTCATATCACTTTATATGTTTATATCAAATTTTGTTCAAATTGAACAACAACTTGAAGGTAATTAAAGTGTTCATATTTAATAGTTTAACGGTTGAATTTATAAAATTCATGCTTAATATAAAGTTGTTGAGTGGTGTAATACTTAGTAAAAATTACACCGGTATCGTTTGAACCCTCCTGTTCATTTATTATTTGTAATAATTTATTTATAGTTAAATATCTAGTAAAAAGGTTACATGAATTGTCAATTTAAATCAACTAATAATTAGTTTGAGTAAAACTAAACTCAATCTCCTAAAGCATGATCTCGAGTTTAAGTCTTGTGTATATGAAAAAAGAGATAGTTGAGAAGAGACCATATTAAAGATATCTAATTAGATTCTCGCGACAAAGATTATTAATAATCTACAAAGTTAATATATACTTCTCACAGTTCATTTGTATATTTGTAAATGTGGGTTGATTTAATTTCGTCTAGCTCTAGTTAAAATAATAAAACTATTTTTTAATTAATTATGCATTATTACTAAAAGAACCATTAATTTATATTGCTATAGACTAAAATAATTCTAATTTTTTTTAGAGGAAAAGGTTAGGTTTCAATTGAATTAACACCAAAAAGGACAATAAATTTTTCATTCATTTTAAGGGTGTTCATGGATATATTTTTGAAAAATTCAAACCAATTTATTTTATAAAAGTGAATCAGTTAATTGATTTATTTTTTATAAAGTAAATGAGTTAACTGATTTATTTTTTATAAAGTAGATTGATTCAAATTTTTTTAAAATACAGATTGATTTTTTTAAAAGTAGATTGATTTAGTGTGATATGGTTATTCACTTTTTACTTATATATGAATCAATTTTTTTAAAAAAAAATTAAACCAAATTGAACAATCCACTTTGTAAAAATGGATCGGATATGCAAAGTGGATCGTACAATTTTTCTCTAAATGGATAAGATATTTTAAAATGGATCGGATATCAATTTAGATTTTATGCATTCTCCTAATTCATTCTAATCCCCCCAACAAACCACTTCAACAAAACATACACTAACAACACAATTTTGGGATCAAAACCCCAAGGATCTTGCAAAGATTGAGCCTAAGGGTTTGAGAGCCAACTCCGTTATCCAAATTTACAACACAACCTAAGCAAGATAATTCGCTCTCCCTTACCTTGAAAAATGTTTTCCTCCAAGTCAAAGGGCCAACAAAAGATGATCGTCAAGCTCCTCACTTCCAAGATAATGGTTTTACGATGGTAGGGTTCCTAGAGGCAAACACACATAAATAGTAGAGAGTAAAATGAATAAGTTTAGGTCAAACACTAATAACTTATATAAATTGGTTAGGTGAGGCCCAAAACCTCTTTTTACTAAAACACAAGCCTTTTTACTTTCAAAATCCTTTTTTTTCCAGCCCATTTTGTCCAAAATATCTTATTATTATTTTATAACATTAAAATAACATATTTAATAGATAATAAATAAATATATTTTAGAAAGCTTGAAGTGTTGCATTTGATCATTCTCATGTGCACTAGTGCAAAAAAATTTTTTTTTGACAAATATTTATGTTGAGTAATTCACATGATATAGAAAGTGACAAAGATGTAAATATGACAAAACTTATTATGACCAATGTTGATTCACTTGTCAAAGAAAACTCTTTCTATGTCAAATGAGTCAACACATTTCATAAAATGTGTTAGAGTGTCTTAACATTATAGTTGAACTTAACCTTTCTATGAATTATGTAATGACACTTGACAAATAAATAACTTTCTATGATAGGCGTAGTGACACCCAACATAAAAAGTGTTTTAAAATTTCAAAAATATGCAATTTGTAATTTTCAAATCCAAGACTCTTATTTCTTATTTCATCTCGTTTCCCTTTTCTTTAAACCCTAATATTAAAAACACACTCCCATATTTGAAATTCATATTGTCCTCGATGTAAGCATATAATTCAACAAAGAAAAATGTAAATTAAATCAAAAGTGTGTAAGACTCCCTCTTAGTAGCGTGATCAAAGAGAAGTTATTTGCATTCTCCTCCACACTTGAAGTTTGTATTGTTCTCAATGTAAGAAAAAAATGCACCACATGAAGAGAATGCTACAATAAAAAAAAGTGGAAAATAAATCAAATAGAGATAATTTGCATTATATTTCTCATGATTTGACCAAAGAGATATCCTTCATTTTCTTCTCCACTTGTCTCTCTAATTTAGATGTTTGGATAAATGACAAGCTAATTTGCTAAAATCTGGCATGACCCTCCCATAAAAACCTACATATCTAACAAAAGAATGTTTTTTTTTTTTGCATAGATGTAAGGTAAGGTGAAGAAGCAATAAGATCAATATTAGCACTACCAACCTCTATACTCTACTAGATACTAAATGTTATAAAATTATACCTTCTACTACCAAAAAAAGAAATATACCAAAGTTCAACACAAGGTTAGTTTCAATAAACCTATCTAGCACCTTAGGCAAATTCTCTAAACATGTGTTAAATGAAGATCCAAGTCTCAACTCTAAGGATAGTGGTCACATAATGAAGACTCTACTACTGATTGAACATTCGTAGGTGTAGCTACATCTATTGGTGTAAACTCTACTTGTAGTCCAACATCTAGTAATGCATATCATCTACCACTGCACACAAAAAATGACATTTAGTGGCATTTTATTATTGGCAGCCTTAATAAACCTTAGAAAATGTTATAATTGTAACAAATATTTTAATCACCACAAATGACTACATTTATTTTTGGGTTTAAAACTGCAACAATGTAAATATCTACTTATTACTTATTTTTCTTTGTTAACACCTCGTCCACGTTTGTGTAGCTTTTTTTTTTGTGCCACTAGCGATGATAATATAAACCAAACAAACTTGAAAATAGGAATGATGATGTGCATATGAGATGAAATTGATGTATGAGAATTATATTGATGGGAAGTGATGGTAAAATGTAGTGTTACAAACTGACAAATGAGAAATTGAATGTTATTGTATATTGAGAGAATATATGATGAGGTATGATGAATAAGTCTAGAGTTATGGACAGACTCTCAAGGAGTACTTGAGTATGCATATTATGTTGTTGAATATTGAATGTATTAAGTCCATGCATTCATACTTTGTTTTGTGGGATAGTGTGAGTCTATGCAGGTGGGATATCATAGGTCATCTACCTATGTCCCAAGGATGTTATGGTGGAGAAACCACTAATAGGAATGAGAGACTACCATGGCCAATTGTAACACTTCGACAGGACTTTGATAAATATCTCCTAGTTAAAGTGGTTATGGGTGGTCCCTACACTATTCGATTGGGTAATTCCGTTCCATTACTCCTAGGCTATTTTGTATTCTCGATGCTGATGAGATTGGTACCATATGCATAGAGTTAGGAACATTCATTGCATGAGTATTGTTTATAATTGTCATGCGTGTGTGTGTGTGTATGTTGTGTATGGCTTGTTGGTTATGAATGATGAATGGATGTATGGAGATGCTATTTGTAGATGTATAGAATGATGTTTATGTGTGTGTGACATTAGTGATGTTATTAATGTGTGCGTCTATCTTTGTATCTTATACATGTTATTTTTGGATGAAGTTTATTCTCACTCTATGTGGTTGTATGTTTTTGTTTGGGTTGAACGCTACTTGCAATATTAGATCAAGTACAAGAGGACGTGTATGATGAGGGAGAAACATAAAGAAAGGTTTTGCTCTGATAGTGTGTGTCGCAACCCGAAAATTTTTGATCTTGCGACCTATGGTTTAGACATCCTTTTAAAAGTCTCATTAATTAAGGAATGCCCGGACACCAGACTAATCCTTAATCAATGGTTTTGAAAATAGGTTCATGGAGTCGCCACCAATATTTTACTCAAAACATTGGAAAAAGAAAAGGTTTTTAAAGATCCAATAATGGCCTTGATAACCAGAATTGGGTTCGGGGGTCGGTTACGTGTAGGGAAGGTATTAAGCACCCCTACAACGCCCTCAATCGGTACCCTATGATGAAGTTAATATGATAAAAATTAATAAATTAAATATTGAATCCCCTTTATTAATATTTATTTACATATTTAAAATATAAATTAAACGATTAACCCTAAAATATCTACATTATGAAGTTTGTTATAACAAAAAAAGGAGATAAAGATGAAAAATAAAAGAGAGAGAAAAAGATTGACTGAAATACCTCTTGAACGAGCTTTATTGAATCTTCAAATATGGAGAAGGTGCTTTGTGGCGACCTTTCACACTACAATATGCCTCACAGATCTCAAGAAATACAATAGGAGGGAGAGAGAAGATAGAGATGCGACACAAATCTCAAGAAATACAATAGAAGGGAGAGAGATAGAGAATTTTCATGCTCAAAGGAGTCTTATTCAAAATTTCTCTGGCTGCCATGAAAACTGTGCCGAAGGCTCCTATTTATAGGAATCAAAAGGGGACCAGAACGGCCCGTTCTGGATTCGGAACGGCCCGTTCTGGGCTAATCCGTTATGGGTAAAATAAGACACTGGAATGGCCCGTTCTAAATGTGGAACGACCCGTTCTGGGCAAGTTTATTATAGGTAAAATAAGAACCTGGAACGGCCCGTTCCAAAAGCGGAACGGCCCGTTCTGGGTTCAAATCTTGCATATATCAACTTGTTTTGGAACGGCTCGTTCCGTTTTTGGGAACAACCCGTTCTGGTCTTCGAACAGCCCGTTCTGGGTTGTCATCTCTTGTTATTTCCATGCTTCGGGAGCTCCTTTCCTTCACAATGGAGGTCCATTTCCTTGTTTGTGTGCCCTCGGACGAAATTGGGTGTCTACAGCTGCCCCTCTTTACTTGTCCTTTGGAGTAGCTATGTGTTGCTTTTTCAAAGGCAAGTAAAGACCTAGACATTTCGTCCGGGTCTTCTCCTCGTCTCTTTGGTGTTGGCACTTCTACGTTTCTTCTCTTGGATAGATGTATTTGCTCGTGTCCTCACCCTTTAGAGTAGTTGAGTGTTGGTTGCATACTCTATTGGGTAAAGGTTGACGAACTGTACACCTGATCTTCGGTCTTCAAGTAGATGCTCCATTGTTTATCTTGTGATAGTGCGTTCCTTTACTTGTAGCTTGTTAAAGAGGGAGTATTTTCGTAGCTCAGCTTCCCTCACGGCTTTGTCGTATACCGGATTGGGAGATGACTACAGTCTCTCCAGACCTTTCCCTCACGGCTTTGTCGTATACC